GTCATGAAAATAAGACTCGGCCACCCCACCGAAGTGCATAACTAAGTGACCAAATAGAGGTGAAAAGGAATTTCTCTTACTTGAAATATTCCACTTGATAGATACAGGTCCGAACTAACAGGTTGCTATTTTCAAAGGCCCAATTTTTGTGGGATCCAGTCAATAAGCATTAGTATCCACTAATGTTATTAAAAACAAACAAACAGACAAAAACAAAGAATTGAGCCACATGCCATGCTATCCACTCCTTCCTGGTAGAAAGGAATGGCCTGCAAAGTAGATTTGGAGTAAATACCTACTCTTTATCTAGTTCATAGTCTCAAATCCAGGCTGAATTGTTCTTATTCCAAAATGTTTGGGTCAGGAATGTTTTGAGTTTCAGGGTATTCCTTTTTCTTATTTTTGGGTTTTGGAATATTATGCAGATTTCAGCAGTGAAATCAAAGGTTTTATTTGAAATGAACTACATTCAGCCTTTGAAATACCTAAATTCAGTCAATGAAAAACATTCAGATTTTAGACATTTGTACTAGGAGTGCTTATCAGTGTCATTTTATAAGGACTTGCATGTAGAAGACGGGAACCAGAGAGGACAAAAGGAAATCTTAAGTGATGCCTCAGGAAATTCAAACCCAGAAATGCCATGAAACAATGGCATGGTTTGACCAATAAATCAATGAGAGGAACAAGAGTTAAGATGGAACCTATTGAGACTTGGTTTGCCAAGTCATGAGAAAGCCAGTGTTACTTAAGAGCCCAGTAAAGGCTGCACGCCAAAGACATAGTCATCCTGCCTAGTTACACACTGATTTTTCACATAATATTACTGTGGTTTCATTTATTACAGAAAGCACAATGTCAAAAAAAAACACTCAGCGATATCTGTGGGTTAAATAACAATGTGGGGTTCATCTCAAATTAAAACCAGGGAGAAGGATTTAAGATTGTATATGAGTAGCCATCATAAAGGCTGAGTGTTGGGACACTCGGGGTTCTCTCCTACTCCTTTGCCTCCTTTTCAGTTTATTTTATTATGTACATGCATGTGTGTCTATGTAGAGTATGAGCATGTGAGTGCAGGTGCTCACAGAGATAAGAAGCATCAGATCGCTCTGGAGCTGAAGTTTATGCAGATGCTGGGAACGCATCTTGCGTCCTCTATAAGAGTAACGCGTGATCTTAACCTCTGAGGTACCCTCTGAGGCATCTCTCCAGTACCCATTTTGTCTACTCTAAACTTAAAATCCTCATTAAACTATTTACTTAATGAACATTTGCGAGTCTGGTAGATGGCTATGTGGATAAAGAGCTTGGCATGCAAGCATAAAGACCAGGGATCAGATCCCAGCACCCACATTATATGCTGGGGCAGGTGCGGTAGCCTATTGGTGACCGATGGTTCAGGAGACAGGGCACCCCTCAAAACAAGCTGCTTATCTGGAGCAGCCAGATCAGGAGACTCAGGGTTCAGCAAGAGCCTCTGCCTCAGGGAACAAAATGGAGAGCAACCTCATGAGGAAGGCATCTAATGTCAGCCTGCGTACTCACAAAGTCACGCACAAATGTGAACCCATATGTGAACATGCACACACACAGAGTTTAAAAATAAATGCATACACAAACAAACCATTTGAATAAGTCCTCAGAGACACTGAATAAAATGAAAACCCTCTAGCCCTTCCATTTTTCTTCATCTGTTGTCCAACCCTCCTCAACTGCTTATCTGCATTTCCACACCATTAACCCACTTCCCCACTGAGGACTGTGGTTTCTTGTGTTTTCACGTGTTTATGAATTTCTCCGGAGGAGTGCTGAATCTCATTCGTTTACTCAGCTGGATTTAGGCAGCCGGAGGTACGCAGTGCTTTGATGCACACATTTCAGACAGGTCAGACTGGGCACAATGCAGGGATGGAAATCCACCATTTTCCACCCCCCCCATCCTCCCTACTCTCTCTCCCTTCTGCCCTAACCGAGCTGGTATGATGGATTGTATCCGCAGCTCCCCTATCTTCTGCCTCCAAGAGAGGACCACTGGGGGCAAAACAGTGACTGGGGCAAAGAGGCTGTCTTTGTAACAGCCCTTTCCTACCTACCTGGCAGGTTGATGATGGGAAACTTTCTTCCCTGTATTGGCCAATAGGGCAGCAAGATAGGTGGGACTAGGATATGAGGAGGATTCTGGGAAGTGTAGGCAGAGGAGTCGTCATGTGATTCCAGGATGTGATGTAGCTGGGCAGAAACTCACCACTAGCTAACCATAGAGGTCTGGAGGTCTGTACAGACAGGCAGGAAGTGATATAGCTAGCCTAATCAGAATATAAGCAGGGACAAACAGGAAACTGCTGTTTTCTTCTCTGCAGAGATGTAGCAGGCAAAGGAGAGGCAGGTCTGGCATTCCCAATGAGCCAAGACCACGTGGAAACACTTAGATTGATAGAAATGAGTTAATAGTTAAGACAGGGATAGCCAATAAGAAATGCTAGTCACCGGCCCACAGTATTATAATTAATATAAGTCTCATGTGCTTCTTTGGGGGCTGAAGCAGTAGTGGGACCCAGGCAGCTGGCAGGAAAGAGTACACGTTACAGGTTGGCATCTATAAGACTTCCCCTTCCACAGTGGTCCGTGTTTTAAATGATGTCGATTTGACATTGTATCTTCACCCGAGGGTAAACCAGGGCAACATGGGAAAGATGAGTAAAGGGTCCTGCCATTAACTCCCTCCACCCCCACATCAACCATTCAGTTTCTATCTGCTGCATCTCTCCATCTCAGACATTAATTATACAACCGTAAACAAAGCCACACACACACAAGATTATATTAAGATCCTGATTGGGATAAAGTAGAAGACAACCAGCCATGGGACAGTGTAAAGAAAGTCAGCACACACAATGGCTTAGCATCACAAAGGAGGCAAAGAATCTTCAAAGCTACACTTTGCTGCAGAGTTCTTGAGCCAGGAAGCAAGCAACACAGTGCTGGAGAACCAAAGAGAAAGCCCAGCATCTCTAGGCCAGGTGTGGTGGTGAGAGGTCCCACCAGGGGTGTGTGTATTTTAGCCCTTGGTCGCCAGTTGGTGGAATCCTTAGAAGGCACAGTTTTGCCGGTGGAAGCAGGTTTGAGGGTTAATGTCTCTGTCCTGCTTCCTGTTTCCTGTGCATGGATGAAAATGTCAGCAGCCAGCTTCCTGCCATCATGCTGTGCCTTCCCTGACATGATGGACTCTACTGCTCAGGAGTCATTACCTGAAACAAACCCTTTATTCCTGAAGTTGCTTTTGGTCATGGTATTTTAACACGGCAATAGAAAGGTGGCTAATACCCCAGCTAAGGGTATAAACCTTGATCTCCAGCACAGAGAGAAAGTGTGGACCATTCCCGTTGGCCACTCAGGCCCTAGTAAAAGATGATCATCACCCAGACAATTTCTGATCCCTTCTACCTCACAAGTAGCATGATGAAGCTGTGATATATATATATATATATATATATATATATATATATATATATATGATGAAGAGATAGATAGATAGATAGATAGATAGATAGATAGATAGATAGATGTTAACTACTCAACCAACTTTCTATGTAAGGTATAGTAAGGGAGGAGAGTTTGGGGGGAGGTAAATTAAACACCAGCACAGCCTTGCCACCTTAAACACTTTTTCCTTGCACATATACATTTTGAATTTAATCCTGGTTTGTCCTTTTTATTAGTTTAGAAAGCCTTGGTGATAAAGGATGCTCTATGAACATCAGCTCTCCAAAGTAAAGTAAAATCCACACCCATTTTCTTCCTTTAGTCCATCTCCCTTCTTCTTAGAAGCTGACTTTTCATCTTGCCTGCCCTGGCAACCCTTCCAAATGCTGATGAAAGGGTCAGCCTCACCTTTAGGGATCTTATGAATTGAAATGAGTTTATATAACAATTTCTATAATACAACAACATAAAATAAGCAGTTTTTATAATTCTTAATTGGTCAACCATGATGGAATAAGTCGACTGGTTTGAAAGGCCTTACAGTATAATCCAGTTTTTAATATAAATATACAATATTAATGTATGAAGTGATGTGTATACTGTAGCAACTGGACAGTACCAAGGTGATTATAATGGTGTCTTTCCCACCTAAATGTATTTTGTGATTACCCATGCTGTCATCTCGTGCTAAGTGAACATGATGAAGCTGCACGGGAGTACTAGTTTTCAAGTTAAACATTCTTTTCCTCAGTAAGGTGGGAAAAGCATCAGTCAGGTGCTGTGGTTTTGTGTAAATACTGAACTATTTCTCTATTTCTCTGCCATGCTGTCTTCATAAGCACAAAATGTCATATTGTCCAGAAAGTAGAAAAGAATCAAACTGATGTATTACTAAACTCCAGATGATTATGGATAGATATTTTTCAGACAAATGACACAATTCATGTTTATCCTAAGCAATTCTATACTATGTAGAGTTTATAAGTTATTAAACCAAGAGAACAAAAAACCTTTTATTTGAAAATACTTTTTTTTTCATACACTATAGTCTGATCAATTTCTCCTACACCCTAAACCCTTCCCAGATCCTCCCCAACCAACCCAAATCCGTATCCTCTCTCTCTCATTAGAAAACAGACATCTAAAAGTAAAATAAAATAGGAGTAGCAGAACACAAACAGGAAAAAAGCCAAATGAACAGCACAAGAAACAAATACGGATGCACACACAGAAATCCCATAAAAACACAAAGCCAGAAACCAAAATATATAACAAAAGACTTGTAAGGAGCAAAACAAACAAACAGAAAAACCACAAACACTCAGACCAAGCATTATGAAACAAAAAGCCTCCAAAAGCACTACTGAGTTGGATTTGTGTTGGTCATCTACTTCTGGGTGTGTGCTCTACCCTTGAGTATGGCTGTGCACCCAGTGACTCCACTGGGAAAAACTAACTTTTCATTTGTGAGCAGTTAAAACAAGGGTTTTCAATGAAATTGAGATACTGCTCACCAACGAGGCCATGGTGAATCCGATGACTTCAATGTAGCCGTCATCGTGACGCTGGGGTTCAAAGTCATGGTGATCTCCAGGGTTTCCCCAAGGCATTGTGCCAGCACAATATCTGCAAGCAAGGTCAGGATCAGTTAAAGTGACCATATTCTTCTCTTGATTCGCGCTAGGAGTTAACTTAGAGTTAAGGTATACATGTACCAAGGTCTTGAACAGTATGCTCATGACTACACTGGCGGTTTACAGTTCTATATGTAAGTTTATAAATAAGCTTTTAAAAACTAATTTCTAGTGGATCTTAAGGTTTATTAAACATAAAAGAGTTTGCCGTCCTTGATGCATAACTTCAACTATGAAAAAAATGGACTTATCTCCAAAATAGTATAACCTTACAAAAATAAGCCACACACAGTTTTACAACAAAACCATCCTGTGGTACCCATCCCTTCCTTCCATCATCTTTTGCCAACATTTCTCACTCTAGAGTACATGTTTTCTATGATGCAAATTATCTTTAATAATTTAGTAATGGTCTTACATGAAGTCAAAGACATGCTAATGTAAAAGTAAGGTGACAGCATTTACCGCTACATATAATATTAAGACAAGAAATTCCCACAGGAAAAGAATAAATGAAAATTAAATAAGTAAACAAAAGGTAAGAAATAACATATGCAATGCATAGTGGTATATGCCTGCTGTTACAGTACACAAGAGGCTAAGGTAGAAGGGTTGTGGATTGTATAGAGCGTTCATCTCTCAAAAGAAAGGGGGGAGGGAAGGAGAAAGGGGAGGTAAGAGGCATTAGGAGAGGAATGGAAAAGAATAAAATTGTAAAACGAGAGAAGCAGACACAGAAGGGGAGAGGGTCAGGGGCAAAGAGGAAAACACAACAGAAGGCATTAGTAGTGGTATTTCCTCCACATCTATAAGCCTTCTACTAAAATCTTGCTGACCTAGGCTCCTGACACAGCTTGGAACTGGGTGTCCTGAGCATTGCCAAGTGTAATCTGGAGACCCTGACAAGTTTTCCCAGACACAGACTTCTATGGGTCTCTCATTTCCTTGAATTCAGCAAGGTCAGCTTATTTGCAGACTGCTGTCTGAGTTGGCTGGTAACAAGTGATGAGGGGTTATAGGCCTGAGCCTTCCAACATCTTGGCTTGGGAACCTAGAATCGAATTTTATTTCACTGAAGTAATATGCTTATTTTAAAAATAGGCAGTCCTAAGTGTTCCTTTCTCGTGGTGCATAATAATTCCTAAGAGCATTTAAACCCTGTCTATAACATGCCTCTCTGATGGAGTCTAGCATCTGGCAGACAAATCCATAGTCATCAGGCTGGATGTGTTCCTAACAGCTTCTGAGAAATTGAAAGCAGGGTTCTACTCACATCTGTCTTCCCTGGAGGCTGTCGGGTAGGTGTGGGATAGGGATGGGAATTAAATGAAAATACTCCAGAAAAGGGCCCGAGTCTCTTAAGGCTAGGAGAATATAGGTAATGGATTCTACGTGGTGGGCAAAACCACCCACCACAGGGGAAAAGCCAAGCAGGAGAAGAAAATGAGCAGACATAGACCCTTTGGCAAGACATTAAAACTGGGGACTTCATGGCCAATGCCTGGGATGGTTCACTTGTGAAATCAGATGCTCCAAATCAAACAGAGTTCACACCAAACAAAGGCAACAGTTATGAACAGAGCTTACCTGGGTATATTTAAAAATACTATACACTGGAACTTCAGGTCCTGGATCTTTGGGGTGAGATCTGTCCCATCACACTGCAGCAACCAAAGCAGAGAAAGCAGGGCTTCTGAAGTAGTCATGTGTCTGTCAGCCTCATCCAAGATAACTGGGTTGACAACAGCATAGAGCATGGAATTCTTTCCCTTGCCCCTGAGTGAATGCCAGCTACTATGACTGAAATCTATGCTGAGTCTAATTCTGGTAGAATGAGGGCTTAACTTTGGTGTTGATCTGATTTAATATAAAAATTAACTCCATTGACCAAAACAGTTTTTCACTGTTCCAATATTCAAAGAAGATATTGTCATCCACTGCCTTGAACTATTATTGGACATTTAGACAGATAGTTCTAACGCTTAAAGACTACACACACTTCAAAGATGAAGCCAGCAGCGTTCCCCACTGTAATTAGTTGATCCAAACACAGGATGAGCATGGCCATTTGTTTTCTTTCCTGCCCGAGATAATGTTTACCTTGAAACTAGGGGACACGTAGGGGAATACGTTGTCTGAAAGTTTTTGCGGAGTCTGTTCTAAATTGATACTACCTGTAGACCCTCTTTTGTTTGCTACAGGGTGAAGCCAGTGTCCCAGATGTAAGAGTTGATAAACTCCTGTACAGATGTGAGTGTGTATATTAACACTGGGGCTAGAAGACAAAGCAGTGTCACGTGATTCTCTCTTGCAAATCTAATCTCTTACAGAGATCAAGCTGTTGGAATTTGGGGTTTGGACATGACCTTGGTCTCAAGAGCCCCTTGACCATTCACCTTAGAAGCCCTGTCCATGGCTTCCTTGATCACCTGGTATTTTGCCCCATGAAGCCTGTCCTCTAGACAATCAAAAAAGGAAAAAAAAAAAAAAGCGTCCATTCCCCCTTTTCCATCTCCACAGGTGACAAAGTCCAGAAGAGACGACCAATCAGAGTCAAGGACATAGTGCCACAGAAGAAGGGACTTTTCAGTTTGCTCCCTGCACTCCACACCCCACCTCCAACACTCTGCCCCATAATTCCATCAGTTTAATCTCCTTTGGAAGGAGGAAAAAAAGCATTTCCAAAGCTCACCACAATTTTATAAAGATTTCTTTCAGCCGAGTTTCAGTCTAAGCGTAATGTTTTTGCAAGCTTCCAAGAGCCACATTCTTTCCCCACCCGATCTGAACGGACCCCAATATTCAAAAATGATCCCCAAAACAACCTCCAGGGAATCATATGGCCCTAAATAAGAGATTCCCAAAAGTAAGTTAGACAGAAATCAAGTTCCACATAATGACCAAAGATGTTTTGGAGCACTCCCAATAACCTAAGATCTTCCAAATCCCTTAAGGGTTTCAAACAGATCCAAAGATGGCTATGCCCATGAAGGAAGCATAGAGTAATTTTATTTAAATGAGAAAAGTTCAAGAGTGTAAACAACAAACCCTTACACTAAAAATACAGGATGCTATGCTGTGTTGCTACAAAACAAAACAACAACAACAAAAAACCCCTATGATAAATAGACACTAAACTTGGACCCAAATTCACTTTTAAATATTCTAGCCTTTTCAAAATCCTGGGCAATATGAAAGTGATTTTAGGAGCTTATCCAATTATTTAAAGATATATGCAACATACAGTATTTAACTGTTTTAACATACCAATGCATGGAAATGTACAGTTCTCTATGACGTTAGTATTCAGTGTTTTCCCTAATTCATACACATAGGACAAAAAAACATCTGCTTACAAAACACAGTCCTGCATCTATTCCCATGTGTTGAGAAATCAAACAATGGACAGTAAATAGTGTATTCTCCCAGTAAATGTAATATTCTCTTAGTGCTTTGTGCTTTCTTGGTCTAGAATTTATATACACACACACTTTATAACCACATGACTTCTATATTACACCCAAGATAGTGACTTCACCCACGACAAAGGTCAGATGGTCTGCTTTATATATATTTGATGCAGTTAGGTTGTGAAGTGTCCCTCTTAAAGGCTCATGTGTTAGAGCCTTGGGACCAAGCTGGCAACACCATTGAAGCGTGACTGGATCACGAGCATGCTACTGTGTTGCTGAGTTCACATGAATGGATGTTACAGGGTGTGGCCTATTTGGAAGTAGTTCACTCAGGGTTTGCCCTGATGAGTGCATCTTGTCCTGGTCAGCCATTCATCAGTCAGTTTCTCTCTCCCTCCTCCTTTGCTTCTCCTTCCCATCCTCCCTTCTTGGCCACCATGAAGTGAGCAGATCTGGTCCCCGCACCCCAAATCCCTTCCACATGAGCAGCTCTGCTCCCCTCATCCCTTCCACCCTGAGACGATCTGCTCCCTTCACGCTGATCTCTTCCACCAGGGCCAGTAACAACACTGCATTGTACAGGAGCTGAAATTTCCTGAAGGGATGCCAAGGTTAGCTAATACCAGAAATACTTAACCCTTGTCTCAGTTGAGTTCAGGGGTTCATCTTCCATGCTTATTTTGCTATAGGGTACAAACTTGATGTTTTTATGATAAGCAACTGAAATCATACAGTGTTCTCAGTGCTCATATGGTCACAATGAAAAGACATAGAGATTCTACCGGAAAGTTTAGTAAGAGATCCAAAGCAGGGCAGATGTCCATACAGCAGTACCAGCAGCTTTGCAAATGTTTGCCTATCAGATTTCTATAATTTCCCCTCTTCCTCTTTTGAAATAAGTTCTCACCAAGCTGTCTAGGCTGCTTGCTGGTCTTGAATTTACATCCCTTCCAGCTCAGCCTTCCAAATAGTTGGGACAGCTGGCAGAAGCCACTGTGCCCAGCCTAGCATCTTTAAAATGAACCTTGCACCCTATAAGAATGAGTAAGTCATTTTCTATTACATTAGCACTGTATATACTATTGGAAACATCAACAGCGCCCCACAAAATATCATGCTATTACAGTTCTCACTTGTTTTATTTTAAGAGATCATTTCCCTTTTCTTATCTAATATAGAAGTAATTTATTTAATAGAGCTAGAATATTTTTAAATATTTTGCTGGACTTGGTAGTGAGCGCCTGTAATCTCAGTACATGAGAAACGGAGAAACAAAGATCAAAAGTTCAAGACCATTTTGGCTAAATAGCATGGACCTCAAGAGATGCTGTCTCAGCAAATTACAAAGAACCATCTAGAAGCAGATATATGTCATTTTGTCAACATAAATGTGGATCTCATGACAGGACTACCTCTTAAATGCTAAAGACTGGTGTTTCTTTTAACTGTCTCATTCTCCTCTATCATTTCCTCTAAATCCCAATAACCTAGTATCATCTAGTGTTTTCTCTATTTTTATATGTATGTACACATACACACACAGGTACATACACATTCTACATTTCTTTACCTGCTTCATGATTTTCTTAATTGACTTTATGATATACCAGAATGCCAAAATGTACTACTTAGACGAAGATAATTCTCTCTCTCTCTCTCTCTCTCTCTCTCTCTCTCTCTCTCTCTCGTGTGTGTGTGTGTGTGTGTGTGTGTGTGTGTGTGTGTGTGTATGTTTCCAGTGGAAACATAACCTGGGTTAGAGACATAAAAAGAAATAGCATGAAACATCCACTCAGTGTGAGAAGCCTTGACCAGGCTGGAGAGCAAAGTCAGGATAAAGTTAAGTGTTTGTTCTAAAATGAAGATTCCTCAGAAAGATCTGGAACAATTGGTGGCTAAGCATTTGCTTATACTGGAAGAGCCAGCTCATGGAATTTCTTCCAGGAAGATTTTCTGAATCCCCTTGTGCTCCCGGTGTCCTGGATGCATGACTGAATAATGTTCTATACATCCGCCGTGATTGTGTGTCCTTCTCCATGGCTTCCTCAGGAGTAAAACTTTATTTCACTCCAGCAACAAAGACAGATCCTGACACAAGGTGAGAGCCTCTATGTGATTTTCACACTATCTGCAGCCCAGGGATTAATATGCACATCAACTGGCGGGGGGAGGGGCATGGCATTCATATTCACACACAAATTAAATGAACCTATACAGCCAATACTCACAACAACTTTGACGTGTTTGGATAGATCTCTAGAACTTCTCTGTAGGAAATCCGAAAAGGCTGCCTGCAGCACAAGGGAGAAAGGGATGCTTTGTTAGGTGGCTTCCACCAAATCCTTCCTTCAGCATGATTAACAGTTTCCCAGCATTCCACACTATGAGAAAATACAAAACAAATGCTCCGTTGGTTGAACCCCACAGTAAAATAGGGCAGTGTCTATGGGAATGTTCTTTGTTTTCAGACTACAATCTACAATAATATTTAAGACTATAGGTGGATATTGAGTCTCAGAGTCACTGAGAATCCACTGCTAAGATCTCCTTCAGCTTCCCCTGGGAATGTTCTACACTGTCCCTTATACTTTACCCCTACCCAGCGCCAGCCATTTAAGCTGCATGCTATTAATACACTGCAAGTCTTCTGTTTTCATCATCCCCGAAGAGTAAAGAAAACCCCTGTCCCTGCCCCACTCGCCACCACCTGGTCTCACGTGCACTTTTACAATAAGTCTCCAAGTTATACCAATTTCTCAACCAAGGTCACTGGGCACACACCGTGCTGAAAGCTACATCCTGAGCTAAGACTGTCCATGACGGATGGCATTAGCTATCAACTAAACAGTCTGCCATCACCTGGGAGAGGAGGTTCAGTGAGGGGTAGTCTAGATTAGGCTGGCCTGTGCACTCTTGTCTATGGGGCTTATCTTGATTAGTGGAAAGACAGGCTCATTGTGGGTGGCGCCTTGCCCTGGGCAGGGCATCCGGGGTGGAGAATGGGTGTAAGCAGCATCGCGTGTGCCCTCATCCCTTGCGGCCTGCTCTTGATTGTACAGGTATAATGAGCAGTTTCTTTAACTTCCTTCCTGCCGCCTTGACAGAATGTAACCTAGAATTGTGAATCAAATGGACACTTTCTCCCTTAAATTGCTTTTTGTCAGGATATTTTATAACAGAAACAGGAAAAAAAAACTAAAACACTGTATGTCTTTTCCTTTAATTATCTTTCTCAATTCCCTCATCGATATCTGTTTCACATTGCTTCCTAAAAGTCACTGACTCTTGTAGCACCTCAGGGCTTAAAATTCAGTTGGGTCAACACCAACCCCCTCCTTGACAACTCACTTAAAAAAAAAAGTTCCCAGTCAGGTGGTGATGGCACACACCTTTAGTCCCAGCACTCGGGAGGCAGAGGCAGGTGGATCTCTGTGAGTTCAAGGCCAGGCCAGGCTCCAAAGCCACAGAGAAACCCTTTCTTAAAAGACTAAACAAACAAACAAACAAATAAATAAACATTCCCTCTCTTTCATTCCTTGGTGAAGGCTTTAAAGAATAAGTATATATAAACATAGCTGGAAGTGTCTCGCATTGCTAGTTTTGATGTGGTTATTTTCTTTAGGATTCAGTGAGTGGGCATTAAATACTATTAATAATCATAAAGTGAAATAGATACTTACCCCTGCATAGAACATTTTATTTCGAAAACGACTATTGAATTTCTCTGGATTTGCTTCTGTAGAGAGAAGAGGTAGTTTGTTATAGGACCTCTCAGAAAGATTGGCGCTGTTCCCCTCCTGCCTGGCCTCTACCCTGAAAACCCAACTAGACCCAACTCGGCTGTTACCGCTGGCTCAGTTCTAGGGCAGCCACTGTGGTTTCCCAGCGACACAGGGGTAGAGTAGCTACCTGGTGTCAGCTAAGCCAGCGGCTTTGTTGTGGACTGGGACTAGGACCACAGGGTCCCACCTGTCCCTGCTCTACTGGAATGTCTGAGTGCGAGGTCCAGGAAAGATGATTTGCTGGGCTCCCCAGGTACACTCAAAACATTAAAACTAGAGACCTTTTTAATTATTATTTTTATTTTTTATTTGCTTTGAATCAGAATCAGAGGGATTTGGGACAAGAAGTAAGGGGCATGGGGGATGGGAGGGGGAAGGAACTGGAATTGACATGTAAAATAGATTGATTCTAATTTAAATAAAATTTGTTAATAAAAAAAAAAGGGATCTGGGGGTGTGATTATTCTATCTATGAGGGTGTGGCGTCTGTAAACTACGTGCGAAGCTTCAAATTGCAGTTAAACAGGGCGGATTTGAAGGAACACTAATGGAAATTCGCTTTTCACATTTTGAGGCCCCTCTGAACCCACTCCGTTCCTTGTGATAGACCTTGGAAGAAATGAAGTGAATGCGTTCCTTGTGAAGAAATGAAGTGAATGCAAGGAAAAGGTAGGGAGGGAGAGAAGGGGTAGGGAATAAGAAGAGGGTTGAGGAGAGGGAGGGAAGGAGGGTTCCTGAAAGACATGACATTACAGAAAGGTTCAATATGAAAAATGATTTAAGTTTCAGTTTGCCTCTACTGATATTTAGCTCAAAGAACCAAAAAAGATGAAGCAATTCATATCGGTGCATTTTCATAGGAATCTGGGAGCTAAAGGAACGTCTACATGAAACATTGTTTTCTCAAATGTTTCTTTCTGATACGATTCCAAAGTTTCACTAAATAATCTACTGGTCTATCTTAGCCCTGTGCCCTTATACACACCCACCAGTAGTTTCTTCTTAGGCTAGCTCTTTCTCCCAGTCCTTTCTCCCTAGAGAGCAACAGGACTAGAAGAAACTCTCTTGGTTGTAATACTGTCTAAAATCAGTATTTAACATTTCCTGTCAAATCGAGGGAATGTAAGAGTTCACTCACACAGACTAGTCCTAAGAAAGCATATAGGACCTCAGGTACAAATCCTACACAACACTTTGTGGATTATTTTCAGGATTCATGGAATCAACGAATAATTGCACATGACACAGAAACTCGGTAAAGAATTGCAAACTTAACCAATGAGAAGGGAGCGTTTATAGATTGGTTCTCAACAGCTAACTTCAGCTATGCAGTTTCTAAATCTCAAAGCTTTCCTAAATACTGTTTTATTCAACAATATACTGATCCTATACACAAACCAGAGCAAAACGTTATGAGGAATAATATACAAAATATAAATGGTGTTAATTGCTCTCTCTCCTTGTTACTCTTAACCTCGTTAGGATTCATTATTTTATTATTATTATTGTGTGTGTGTGTGTGTGTGTGTGTGTGTGTGTGTGTGTGTGTACAAAGGCCAGAAGAGGGTTCCAATCCCCTGGAGCTGGAATTACAGATGCTGGTGAGCCCCTGATCTGAGTGCTGAACTCCAGAGTTCTTAACTACCGAGCCATTTCTCCATCTGTGTTATTGATTTGCTTTTAATCAGTTTCCCTGGCTTCCATTTTCCTTTTCGGTTGCATCAACTTTCATGTTTTATAAAACCAGAGGTAAAAAATGAGAATTTTTTTTCCACAGTGCCTGAGTACATGGGCTCTATCTTAAAAACAAAAACAAACAAAACAAAAACAAAAACAACAACAAAAAAAAACAAAACAAAACAAAAAAAACCCAGTCTAGCTATCCAACAAGTTATTTAAAAAAAAAAAAAAAATGGAAATATCAGCCAGCATGGTTCTGGTGTAGAGGTTTCTCAACATACTAATGTCCATAGCTATGAAGTAAACCCTAGCCCAGCCACTAACATTTATGTGCTTTATAACTTATGGTCTGGAAATATTCACAACTCTATGTGGTTTTCTATGAGGTTCGATTTTTAATAAAACTAAAAAAGATTAATTTTCTCCAAAGATAGACTATTTCCCCTAAGACCACCAAAATGGGATAAAATGGAGAAATAAACTGAGTTTTTTAGTGAGTTAACTCACACCTTTGATGAAAATGGTCCCTTCAGATGTAATTTAGCTGGAGTAATAAACTTTAAAAGCAGGTCCATCGAGACACCTAACATTCAGAGAGCTGTCAGAATGACTTAAGAGGAGGGGACAGAGAGACCCTCGGATGTCTTGTCCTTAAGGATTTAAGGGGAATCCTGCTAGTCCCAGGACACGTCCAAAAGGCTATTGGGGAAACAGTCTACGACTAAGCCAAGTGCCTAGCCTCATTAATCTCCTTTGCATCTTCTGTGTGAGCAAACCTGAGGCTCAGGAAGACAGGCCAGCTAGAGTGTAGATGAAGCTCAGCCCATTGCTGGAATGGGGTCAGCTCCGGCCAAGGCCAGACCATAGTGAGAGCACAGGAGGTACAGGATAGCCCACAGATGCCCACGGCACTCCTCCGTCATTTCCATTGCTGTAAGAAGGATGGACTCTGTGGCTGCCTGTGCATGCCTGCATCGTAGGAAGTCGATGCACCTTTAAGAAGAACCAAGAGTGTGAACCCTCCACTCTACCTCCCACCCTGCATCAAGTAAGAAAGAGGGAAGAAGGAACTGTGATGGGGCAAAGAGAAAGCTCAAGGGCTCCTTCCTCCAGGGAGCTGTGTCTGTTAGCTAGCGTTGTGTGGTAAACACGAAAGGCCAACGGTATTGACGCCACTGCTAGAAGGATCTGTGGGTAACAGCTTGAATTCCTGGGTTACCCATTCTCCTCCTTCACAAGAAGTAGGTGTGAGACAGTAAGAGCCACTCACTGTCCTCTACTCCATTATTCCGTTTACAATCAGCAACGTGACTTTATCGGTTTCCCGTTCCTAGCAGAAGAAATCATGACCAATTCGGAATCTTCAAACACCCCTGCTGATTTGCTCATAACTCTCTTGGCTGGAATTCTGGAATGGACCCCCCCCCCCTGCAGCCCCTGCTAAGGGTTTGAAAAGGTGACTTAGTGGGACACCCTCGCAGAGAGGTCCTGGGAAACATGCTCTGGTTCTTCCGGTTGAGTCCACACCCTGGAGGCTGTAGAACTAGAGCCCTCTGGTGGTGGCTGAAGGGCGCTCATTCTCAATTATTCACTGTCCCTGCCCAATGGGTTCTGATCCCAGACACTCAAGTCCTCACATGGTGAGTCTCTCTGAAGTCACTTCTCTCCTCTACTTCTGATTTTAGGGACTCAACGCGATTATACCGGCCCATGTGGATAATCTCAGATTGTCTTCTGACACTGAAGTCAGCCAGCTTTGCTCACATGAGTGAAGTTCTTCTGTTATGCTGGGCAACAACCACAGGCATGACCCCAGGTGGCAGCTGCCATGCGAGGCAAAGCTGCTCAAGCCCACATCCTACCCCTGCGGCTCACATTCCTCTTCCTAGTGGGAAAAGGAATTTAGTACCAGTCTAGCATCAACTTAAAAGTTCCCAAATCTTGTCTAAATCTCATTATCCCAAACCTTCTCTTTTATCTACAGTATCTAAATGATTTGGATCTAATTGTATTCTATTTATAATAATAATAATGGAGTTCTGGGTGTAATCCACTAAACTGACTGGAACTGTTAGAAACACAGTGCAAAGGCATGGTATGCCCCATAAGACCCGTAAACCCTGCTTCTGTCCAGGACTGGTCTCGCAGGCTTAGTTGTTAATCCATTTTAAGCATTTATTTCAGCCCAGATGTTACCTGCCATGTCTTGAGCTGGTCTGATGAAAACCTATTAGGGTATTTAACAGCGTTTATTCATCCCTTCTAAATTTTGCGTCTTTTCCTCTTCCTGCCTTAGCAGTTAGTAGCCCTACATACCTTGCATCTATAATGAGTGTACCTTCAAACGGCAGAGAGTGCAGGCAATGCGATCCCCATGGTGTCTGTGGGGTTTTCTGCACACAGACAAAAGAGCTGGGTATAGAAACATTTACAGAGCACAGAGCTGCACACATAAATCATATCTAAATTTCTAGCTAACAAAAGTACATATTTTCAATAACCTTTAGAGTTGCAAAGTGTCTCTAAGATGCGTTAGTTCTCAATAAAATGTTCTACATGCTTCTTTCTCTACTGCTTGAAGACAGCACACATCTGTAGTTAAACGGTTCAGAGAATTATTATCACACGGTTCCGTTGTCATTGTTTGCCACTAACATCATCACATTCCTCAGAAGGCGTAGGAGTCCCATTTAATAAAAGGGTGCACATGCAACATATATTGATTTACCTCCTCATATATTCCATTATATCTAATTATTATAATTTCAAGATCATTATCTTGATATTCTAAACAGGCAAATTTGTAATGCTTTTTGGACACAATCGGTGAAAACCTTCCCAGGTTACAAAGACTCCTCTCTGAAATAACCCATGTAAATATTAGCACAAACCACGTCAGTGCAGAATCCTGCCATGGGTTTCAGTAAGAGGGGACGGCTTTACAGGAGGGTTTGAAGGGCGTGAAGGAAGGGGGTAAATATTATGATAATTTCAAATAGAAAAAAAAAAGTGCTGTTGTTCAACAGTGCTTTTAAAAAAGACACCTGTAGTGAGGTAGTCCTTCTGTAGCACTGACCACGCCCATTGGGGGGTGGAGCGATGGGCGGAGGTGACCTGAGGAAGGAGGTCGGAGGGGGCCAGGAAGGCGCTCTCTTTCTGGCGTGACTCAGACAGGAGAGGATCGGGTTGAATTTCCTGGTGTTCATCTGTCTAGGTTGTAAGTTATTTCTCCCTGAATAAACATCTATTCGGCCTATTTGTTTATCCTGATCCT